TATTTAAATGAATTTAAATACTTTTAATTTTAAATTTTTGAATATATGCTAAGTGGATTTAGAACCAATTTTAAGTTCAAAATTTTTTAACAACTTAAATGAAATTAAAATTTCATTCTAAATTTACTAAGATTCTATTCCGATAATACATATATATTTATTTATTTATAAAATTTAAATATATATATACAATAATAAAAAAAATTTTTAAATTTAAAAAAAATTGTTATTATTATTTAGTGCATAATATATAAATCTGATTGCACTATAATAAAGATATTAATATAAGTTTTTTATATTTTTATAAAAATATTTTTTCAAAATTTTAGACCTGCTTCTAATTCTAATTTGATGATAGTAAAAATAGAATATGCTAAATATACTAATATAATATTTAAGTTTTTTTTTTAAAAAAAAAAAAAAAAATTCATACAAATTTTAATAAAGCTACAATTCTAAAAAAAAAAACTTTCTATATCAATTTATTTTTCTTTTTTATTACATACTTGCTGAATCCAGCTTTTAAGACATATAGCAGCATATGCAGTATCTGGTTTTAAATTATATCGAATTTTGGTTATCATATTTGCAGCTACAGAAAATGCCTGTTCTGAAGATACACTTGAGCCCTGTATGCTTAAATAACATAATGCCATTCTTGCTAGTGTTGAAAAATCTTCACTAAAATGATGCCACCAGTCTAATGGATTTGTAGTAGAATCAACTGGTAAAGCAAGATATTGAACAATTTCATCCTCAACAGGTACTTGTACAGAATCTTGCTCTGAAATTAAAGATTCAAAATATGTTTGCTTATTTTTTCTTGTCTGTAAATTATTAATAGATTGTGTATCAGTATTGTTCTTATATAATTCTATTTGGTTACACAAAAGTCTTACAGCATTTTTATGCTGATTTATATCTATAAACATTTTAGTTATTGATCATGGATCTAGTAAAGTACCAATTGTTGTTGAATCATTGATGTATTTCCAATATTCTTGAAGTTTAAAGTTAATTGATTCTGCTATCATACACTCATCTAAATTAGCATGAGTTTGAGTAAATAAATCTAAATGTCATAACAAACCAATTATAATTAATCTTACATCACTTATAGTAGAATATGTTGAGGTTGATAAGATTTTAGTTGCTATAAAAATTGGTTTAAGTAACTTAATCATATTATTAACTACTAGCCAGTCATCATCTTGTAAGTATAAAGGAGAAAGATCTTTATTTTTAACAACAAAAATATCTAACATGTCTCACATTTGAAGAAATTTTTTTAGCATTATATAGGTGCTATTTCACCTTGTTTCGATATCCAAATCAGGTTTTAATTCAGCCACATTTTCTTGTTTGTAAATTTTTTTTAAAGAATCACTAAGTTTTGTTGAATTTTGAATTTTAATTACAAAATCTCGAACTTTTTTTATAACT